TGGAGGCAAGGATTCTGGGGCTTCGTCTGACATACTTTGGACATGTTGCCAGGAGGGACGGGTCCTTGGAGAGGGACATCATGCTTGGGAGGGTGGAGGAACAGTGCAGAAGGGGAAGACCCTCTATGGATTGACTCGGTGACTGGGGTAATCGGGATGGGTTGGCGCAGGATAGAGCAGGGTTTAGGGCTGTTGTGCATAGGGTCGCTATGAGTCGCAAACGACTTGACAGCACATAACAACAACAACACCACCATGACTCCATCTAACTAGCCAGGTTAGAGAAGAAATCCAGTGTCACAAATCAGAAAGAAAATGAGTAGGTTACAGTCAAAGTAACCTATATAAATCTAGTAAAAGTAATTTTATACTCCATTATGGAAGAAGCCCTTATGTAGCAAACAAAAACAACACAAACTATCACAATCCTTGATATAAAGCACGATTTAAAAGTAGTCAAACAGAGCAGTGATTCTTAGACTTCTGCATTTCACTGACTGGAAAAACCTAAAATATATGTGTGCATGCATTTTTCTCAAGGGAGTGAAGAGGACTTCCGAAGGAAGTAAGTTAGCAATACAGAGGGGTGACGTCCCATCCTCTACTAACTTTACTAATAAAGTGTGTTTTCACATAAAAAAGAAAAAGAACACTATCTCAGAACTTTATACTAATAGGAGAATTGATGCCTTTGAGCTGTGGTGCTGGAGAAGAGTACTGAATATACCATGGACTGTTAGGAGAACAAACAGGTTCATCCTGGAGAGGGTGAAATCAGTCTACTCCTTTGAGGCAAGGATTCTAAAGCTCCATCTGACGCTTGTCTTGGGAAGGTGAAACCTGGAGCCAAGGATTTTGAAACTTCGTCTCAAATAACTTTGGACACGTGACCAGAAGGGACTTGGAGAGAAACACCATGCTTGACAGGAAGGAGGGAGAGTGCAAGAGAGGAAGATCCTCAGTGAGATGGACTGACTCAGTGACTAGGGTAACAGTTGTTGGTTTGTCAGAGATGATAAGGTTGGTTCAGGATAGAGCAGGTTTCATGGCTGTTGTAGGGTCACAGGTGACTCAATGGCACATACACAACCACATACCCATTAATATACAACATATATTAATTCATATTTATAGACATTGACATTATTCTTACTTTGCTCTACTGCCTATGGTTTAATGACTATTTAAACACAGATTAAAGAACAAAAATTAAACACTAATCTCCCAAAATAGGAGTGATTCTTTATATTACATATTTTGAGAGGAAACTGCTCTAAGTAGGAAATGCAAACAAACAATATGCTGTCGACAGTTTCATTCCAGAGAGATTTTTATATAGCTTAGTAGTTTAGAAACAGAATAAAAACATGACAGAATCAAGCAAAAGTCATTGAAATAAGAAAATTACTATTGTTTTGAAAGTTCGTATTAACATGCATTAAAGTAGTTATTTAAGACAGATAAATAAAGATATAAAATGCAGTTATCTCAGCTTTGGCGTTTTTTTTTGGAAGTGATATTATGTTAAAGGAGCAATTTCTCACTGTCCATGGAAAGGCTATGGGTCTTTGAAGCCACCCTTAAGGAATTGAGGTGTGAATTACAGGAGATTCAGTAATATGCAACTATATGTCCATTTTACCTAATGACATTTCACATCTACTTCAAGGCATAAAAGCTACCTGTTCTGCACCTATGTGTGGGGGAAAACAGGACTCTAGTCTATCGGTGGCTTCCTTGAGTACTGAATAAACCACTAGTTAGAAAAGACAGCTATGCAAAACGTAAATACCACTCCCCCAATAGTTTCAGTATCTTTGTTTCTCAACTCATCTGAATCACTTTTTCTTCATTTTACTTATTCATACCTTTAGGCTGTAACAACTATACCTAATAGAATCCTCAGAGTGTGTTTTACCTTCCACGAGGTACACAGAACCTAGGAGGTATCAAAATACACTAACCTTTTCCATTCCAGGAGCAAAAGTATCATGAACTTTGGTTCAAACTTAATCTGGATAACACTGTCTAATTCTCTCCTCACTCTTAAAATTTGGTGTAGCTAAGTGTAGAATTCTCAAGCCATATATCTGCAGAAATGTCAGCAGGCCATCTCAGAATGGAATTCCTTTCGGAGCAAGGGTTTTACTGTTTTTAACTTTGTCATAAATCAAAGGCATAAAAATAAGAAATAAAAACTTACTGTAATTGGTACATCTTTTGTTCCTGAATTTAATAAATGAAGATTTAAAACTTTAGGCAGATCTGTGAGAATTGAGGAAAACAAAGATTTCTTTACAAGGTGTGATTTATAGCAAGTTAGAATCTTTATGTTATAGCAAAGTGAATCTATTCAGAAACACGAAATAAAATGTTGTAGATCATGAATTCATAAGGATATTGGGTATGGTAAGAACTGGTCTCTTCTTGCAAAAATCAAGAAGAAAATCCCCCCCAAATTCCATAATCTTTCAGTGAAATATGGTTATTATTCCTAATATTTTAATTTTCCAACAAAGCACAAGGAGGCAAATTTTAAACATTATACAATGTAAAACTAGGATAGAAACCAAATCAAGTTTTTAAAAATGTGGCCTTCAATCCTGCATAACCACATTCAAATTATACATGGCCCATACAGACCCAAATTTCAAGTTTTCCTTAAGAAAAACTGTTACCTCATTATTACTAATTTCAAAATTTGCTGGATTTTCCTTTTCACCATATGGACAAATTATTGTCATTATGTCATTTTAATGTAAATATCTTACTATTTTTTAAAAAGATTCCGCATAAGTGAACAGCTGAGGAACTGAATCAAGAGACCGAATCTTCCAATATCCCATGACCTTGTGTTCACTTGGTAGGTAAGTGACTGGCTACTAGTCAAAAGGTTGGGAGATCAAACCACACAGAGGGATCCTGGAAGACAAGCTGGTGATTTGTTTCCAAAAGGCCAGAGGCTTGAAAACCCCACAGTGCTCAGTTCTATCTGCACACACAGGGGCCTCGGGAATCCAAAGGGAATCAACAACCAACAAGCAGCAATGTACCTCCCCCAGAAATGGAATTAATCTCTAAAGTCTCTGAGTTTCAAAAAGTAGGCTTGTACAAGATCATAATACCTACAGAAAAATAACTCTGAATAGTAAACTACAAGGTAGCTAAAATAAGAGTTCTACAGCTCTGGGTCCAGGAATTTTTATGTTTATTAAATGACTGTATTATTTTTATCTAAAAGACTGCTGTTTTCTTTTACCTTGTGTTCGTAGTGTACCAAAGTCTAACATTTCAGTTGAAGAATAAATTCCAGGAGCTAGGGAAAGAAGAAAAGCAAATAATTATCTTTCACTTTGCCAGAGCAAGCTACACAGGACACTCCTGGCCTTGCTTCAGTCTCTACTAACCTGTGGTAACTTCAACCTCAACAGGAAGAATGATAAACTCCGTGCTGTCTGAAGCATTGGTCTTTATTCGTATGAAGGCTGTGTGATTATCTGCTTCTCTAGATGAAAAACTGGCTCTCATCACTCCTTTGGTTTCATAAGGTGGAATTTCCTGCAATAGGAGTTTTTGTAATGTTGCAAAATAATATTTTATTGAATAATGTGACATGGATGGAAGCACGCTTTATTATTTTAAGTATCTACTAAGAAAGAATAGCCAATTCAACTACTCAGTGACTGGGATGGGCATTCTAATTCTGTACTGCTTTAAAATATAAAAACTGCCCATCTTAGAAATGATAAAACATGAAATATTTAAAGTGAAAAAGGTAAAGGAATCAAATTACCTGAAAACAGACTAGTACATGGAAAAGACTAAAAGCTCTGATGGCCTAGTAGTAAGAAGTTGCACCTCAATCCCAAAGACACCAGGTTTGAATCCACCAGCTGTTCTGTGAGAAGGGCAATTTATTTCTGTGCGATTAACTGTCTCCGAAAACCTGCCAGAGGGTCAGCTATGGGCTGGTTCCAATTCGATGGTGCACAGCAACCATCTATGAAACTGGGTATATAATGTTAGGTGGTACTTTGCTATAAATCAGTTTCAAATTCTCTGTGCAACAGAAATGCCATCATTAGAGGGAAATATTTTTCACCAGTCCACGTGAATTTCTTTAAGTGATAATTAAAAGGCTTTCAATTCTGCTTCAATTTATTTTAAAACATAACAAAGTTTTCTAAGCAAATTCAGAGCCACATGCATTCAGTGAAGCTCTTAGAATGGAATGTAGCACATACTCTGTAGTCTATAAGAGAATATTTATGCACACTCTAAAAATATTTATTTTATAAATACTCAGTGAATTTTAAAAAATTGTTGTAAACATATTATTATTCGCCCATTCAACATTATTTACATATGTAATTGAATGAAACAAATTATACCATTAAGTTGTGCAACTTTCATCAATATCTTTTGTCATATTTTTCATCCTCATAAACAGAAACTCAATGTTAATTAAAGAAAGATTTCATCTTGGATCCATAATGGATAACCTTGGCACCAGAAATCAGGAAATCAAAGATGAGGTGCACTGGGAAAATTTGCCATCAAAGATCTCTCCAGACTGATAAGACTAAAGACTAAGATGTACCTGATCCATAGCAAGGTCTTTTCAACTGTTTGCTATGCATCTGGAAGCTAAACAATGACCAAGGATAAAGAAAGAAGAATCGATGCTTCTGAGCTGTGGTTCTGGAGAAAAGTACTGAATATTGCATGGACTGCTAAGCAAACAAAACATTTTTTCTGAAGAAAGTATAACAAGGATGTTCCTTGGAGGAAAGAATGGTGAAACTCCATCTCATGTACTTAGGGTATATTGTAAGGCGGGTTCAGTCCTTGGAGAAGGACCTCATTCATGCTTGGAAAAGTGGAAGATCAGTTTAAGAGAGGAAGACTTTCAACGAAACAGATTACTTAAGTGACTCTAACACTGGGCTCAAGTATATTTAGAGATGATGGGATGGCACAGGATAAGGTAAGGTTCAGATCTGTTGTTCACAGCATCACTATGAGATGGTCCCTAACAACAACATTTCCTGTCTTGGGGATTCATGAAATCACTATCAAATAATTAAGTTTCTAAAATGTTCCAATTAACATCATAGTATCAGGTTCACAAAGTCTTTCCAGGACCAGGAGCAAGGGAATGGGAACAAGGGAGAGTGTGTGTATGTGTGCGTGAAGGGAATTAATAAAGAAAGGGGGGAGAGTGTGTGAGTGTGAGTGTACGTGTGTGTACTAGAAGGCAATTAATAAAGTCTTTCCAGGTTATTCATGGGGGGAAGCTCTTCCTCAGATACAGGGGAGTAGGGATTTCAGTGACCTTGGCTCAAATCTTGCATTTATTCCCTCTTTCCACTGATGGAAAAGCCTTTGTTCATCAAAGCACGGTTTTTCAAAAGCATAGTATTTCAAAGCATAGTTGAAAGCATTTTTAATTGGTTTTAATAGCTTAGTCTGACATAATTTAGGCATGCTGCAAGGAGGGACCAGTCCTTGGAGAGGAATATCATGCTTGGGAGGGTGGAGGGACAGGACAGCACAAGAGAGGTAGATTGACACAATGAGATAGATTGACTCAGTAATTGGGGTAATGGGGGTAGGTGTGTCAGAGACAGTAAGATTGGTATAGGATAGAGCGGGGTTTAGGAATACTGTACATAGGGTCGTTATGAGTTGCGATGGCACATAACAACAACATCACATACATTTGGGGATTTTTCCCCATTTTTTTTAAACCACTATTTCATCCAATTTTTTTAAAAAGGGGTTTTCTCTCTCTTTTTTTTAAAAATAATTTTAATGAGCATTTACAGAGATTTTGGATTTCCATTCATTCATTGCTGCACTTCTCTCCCCGCCCAGCCTTCCCCCACCCCCAGTTCACTCCTCTCTTCCAAAAGTAAAAGAAACACTCCCTCCCTGGGACACAATCCCCCCACACCCTTCCTGCCGCCCCAAGTACATTCCACTATGCAACCTTAATTGTGGACTCCTGTGATAACCATAATACCATATCATACATCAAAAAGGGGTTTTCTTAATTGTAATCAAAAGTTTAAAGATAGGTTAGGTTTTCAGTCATTTTATTGTTGCACATTTTCCTCCCTCTCCCTCCCAGGTCTACTTTGCAAAGCACCTCTTGTTCCAGATTGCTTTCGTGTATATATAATGAATGCCTAATCATACATTCCTTTTGGACTGCCCTTCCCCTCATTTGTTCCAATGCAGTGTTCATTATCTAGCCACTCTTTTTCTGTTTTCACCCTAACCCTATGTCTGTCCTATTAATTACAATGATGTAATCCATTGTTCACTTGGTCTTCTGGAAACCTTGCTGAACCTTCCCTTTCCCTTCCCCCTAACACATCCATTCGCCAAGCTCTGCTCCCTGTGCCTCCCCTCCTATTTGTCTACTCTCCTCACTGTTTTCTATCTATGTGTAAACTTTTCCTTAATCTCTCTTTTCACTCTTCTCCCTCTTAATTTAATAATTTATGTCTGTCCTGTTCCAGATTGTTAAGTATAATACAAATAATGTTTGAATATCCATTCACTTCTAAAATGGCAGGAATTTTTACAAATAAAGTAGTTAATTACATACTAAAAAATTTGGTTAATATTTGCTAGTACTTTTTAAGAGACAATGATACTCTAATCACTGAAACAGACTACTCTTTTAAATGTCCATAATGTTAAAGGTGCACCTTTTGCCTGGAATGCTGAGGATCTGCATTTGAAATATCCAGGTCATTATAGATGTAAGACTAGGCTCCATCAGCACACACCACCTTCTCTTTTAACAATGAATCTTAACTTCTAACTTGCATCCTTCAAAAACGTGACAAGTCTTTTCAACAGTATTTTACCACTAAAAATCTTAGTATACAGTATTTTATAATTGATTAGGTTCTCAGGTACCTTTACCAATATATTTCTGAAAACAAACAAACAAAAAACAAAAAACAAAAAAACCCACACAGTTGAAATTTCTTATTTTCTACATGGTAGCCTAAAGCACCAGCCAATTTTGTTCCCTGCTCTTTCTAAAATTACTCTTTATACATCTATTTACTTTGTCAGTCAAAGGTTAAAAATACTTTATAATAAAATTAAGACAACAATTAAGGAAAATACCATCCATATTCCTTCAAGAGATAAGCCATTTTTTTTCGGCTGTAGCTAAAGGAGTAATTAGTTTCACATGACCACACAATCAGAGGAAATCTGGCTGCACTCACCCACAGTTTTCTAGTACCTCCCTGTTGACCTGTTGGAAGTTCAAGGTGAAGATCTCCTCCACTAGAGTACATTTCTACCACCTAGGACAACAGAAGACATGGTAATTAAATAGAAACTCAGAGTGTCAATGAAAGTGATCTGCTGTTAAACTTGGCATTCTAAGTATTCATTAGAAAAAAATGGAAAATGTTTACAGATATGTATGTATCAAAAACATTGTTGTATAACTAGATTCTGTGCTCTTTACCTGGAAGCAATTCTTAAGACAAATAATTGAAAATTAAACTTATCAAAAGTATTTTAAAAGATGGGATTTTAAGAACCCATCCACAAAATATTAACTTTTATTTTAACCAAAGGAAATAATTTATGGAAATGATCAAATGTTACACACAATACTTGCATTATTTATAGTTTAAAAATGCTTCTTTACATACATTTATGGTAAGATTGAAGGTCATTTATAACAAGATCTAAGGCAGTAAGTTTGATAACAGCAATTCTGAAATAGTGATGAGCATAAGTATTCTTTTTTTTATAAAATTTTTAATTTTTATGCATCAAATGAAAGACCTGCAAAATACATAAAGCAAACATTAACAAAGCTGAAAAAGAAAATAGACAACACTACTATAATACATGGAGACTTCAATACACCCCTCTCAAGAAAAGATAGAACTACCAGAAAGAAACTCAACAAAGATACTGAAGAATTAAACCATACAATAAACCAACTTGACATCACAGATATTTACAGGCTAATGCACCCCAAAAAACACAGTATACCTTCTTCTCCAATGTACAGGGAACATTCTCGAGAGTAGATCACATCCGCGGACACAAGCCAAGCATCAATAAATTCAAAAACACAGAAAAAATACAAAGCATCTTTTCAGACCATAATGCTACAAAATTAGAAATTAATAATAGGACGATAAAGGAGAAAAAAACCATGCATTTGGAAGCTGAAAAACTCGTTGCTAGAACATGACTGGGTACTAAAAGGAATAAAAAATTAAATTAAAAAGTTTTTTGAAACAAATGACAATGAAAACACCACTTACCAAAACCTCTGGGAAACAGCCAAAGCAGTAATTAGAGGTCAATTTATAGCA